AGACTTCATAATTAGTATGCATACTCCTCTAATAAAGTTCTTTCAAATGACATCAGGGTCAATGACCTCGTGACCTTGACTGTGACCTATATGCTAAAAATAGGTTTTTCAACTGTTTGTTATAACTTTTGAACCATAGGAGATAGGGACTTCATATTTGGTATGCATACTCCACTAAAAAAGTTCTTTCAAACAACACCAAGGTCTATGACCATGTGACCTTGACTGTGACCTTTATACTAAAAATAGCTTTTTCCACTTTTTGCCATAACCTTTGAACCATAGGAGATAGGGACTTCATATTTGCTATGCATACTGCACTAATAAAGTTCCTTCAAATGACATCAAGGCCAATGACCTTGTGACCTTGACTGTGACCTATATGCTAAAAAAATATTTTTTTCCACTTTTTGCCATAACTTTTGAACCATAAGAGATAGGTACTTCATATTTAGTATGCATACTACACTAATAAAGTTCTTTCAAACAACACCAAGGTCAATGACCATGTGACCTTGACTGTGACCTTTATACTAAAAATAGCTTTTTCCACTTTTTGCCATAACCTTTGAACCATAGGAGATAGGGACTTCACATTTGGTATGCATACTGCACTAATAAAGTTCCTTTAAATGACATCAAGGCCAATGACCTTGTGACCTTGACTGTGACCTATATGCTAAAAATAACTTTTTCCACTTTTTGCCATAACTTTTGAACCATAGGAGATAGGTACTTCATATTTAGTATGCATACTCCACTAATAAAGTTCTTTCAAACAACACCAAGGTCAATGACCATGTGACCTTAACTGTGACCTTTATACTAAAAATAGCTTTTTCTACTTTTTGCCATAACTTTTGAACCATAGGAGATAGGGACTTCATATTTAGTATGCATACCCCACTAATTAAGTTCTTACAAACAACACCAAGGTCAATGACCTTGTGACCTTGACTGTGACCTATATGCTAAAAATAGCTTTTTCGAACTTTGTTGACGCTGGTAAAATAGTGTTTCACAAACACATCTTGTTACCCCTTGACGTTGATGTTTTACATAATTTTCAAAATATTTAACTCTCCTAAAAGATGATTAGACTTCTGAGTAACATTAAGGAAGACTTCAAGGAAGACAGGGCTTTTTGCACAAAAAAAGTCATTTTTCGACCCACATTTGACCCCCTGGGGCAAAATCAAAATTCTAAAACCTTACTGCACATCTACATGACACCACCAACCATATCCCAAAAGATGATTAGCCTACTGTGTAAAATGTAAGAGAAGTTCAGGGAAAACAGGGCTTTTTGTATAAAAAAATTTTATTTTCGACCCCCATTTGACGCCCTGGGGCAAAATCTTAATTCCGAAACCTTACTGCACATGTACATGACACCACCAACCATCTCCCAAAAGGTGATTAAGCTGCTGAGTAAAATGAAAGAGGAGTTCAGAGAAGACAGGTCTTTTAGCATAAAAAACATCATTTTCGACCCCCATTTGATCCCCCGGGGCAAAATCAAAATTCCGAAACCTTACTGCACATCTACATGACCCCACCAACCATCTCCTAAAAGATGATTAGGCTGCTGAGTAAAATGTAAGAGAAGTTCAGGGAAAACAGGGCTTTTTGTATAAAAAAAATTTATTTTTCGCCCCCATTTGACCCCCTGGGGCAAATCAAAATTCGAAACTTTACTGCACATCTACATGACACCACTAATCATCCCACAAAAGATGAGTAGGCTGCTAAGTAAAATGTAAGAGAAGTTCAGGGAAAACAGGGCTTTTTGTATTAAAAAACGTCATTTTTTGACCCCCCATTTGACCCCCCGGGCAAAATCAAAATTCTGAAACCTTACTGCACATCAACATGACACCACCAATCATCCCCCAAAAGATGATTAGGCTGATGAGTAAAATGTAGAAGGAGTTCAGGGAAGACGGGACTTTTTGCACAAAAAACGTCATTTTTGACCCCCATTTGACCCCCCGGGGCAAAATCAAAATTCCGAAACCTTACTGCACATCTACATGTCACCACTAATCATCCCACAAAAGATGATTAGGCTGCTAAGTAAAATGTAAGAGGAGTTCAGGGAAGATGGGGCTTTTTACATAAAAAACGTCATTTTTCGACCCATTTGACCCCCCTGGGGCAAAATTAAAATTCGAAACCTTACTGCACATCTACCTGACACCACTAATCATCCCGCAAAAGATGATTAGGCTGCTAAGTAAAATGTAAGAGGAGTTCAGGGAAGATGGGGCTTTTTGCATAAAAAAACGTCATTTTGACCCCCATTTGACCCCCCGGGGCAAAATCAAAATTCCGAAACCTTACTGCACATCTACATGACACCACCAATCATCCCCCAAAAGGTGATTTGGCTGCTGAGTAAAATGTAGAAGGAGTTCAGGGAAGACGGGACTTTTTGCACAAAAAACGTCATTTTGACCCCCATTTGACTCCTCCGGGGCAAAATCAAAATTCCGAAACCTTACTGCACATCTACATGACACCACTAATCATCCCACAAAAGATGATTAGGCTGCTGAGTAAAATGGAAGAGGAGTTCAGGGAAAATGGGGCTTTTTGCATAAAAAACGTCATTTTTCGACCCCAATTTGATCCCCCGGGGCAAAATCAAAATTCCGAAACCTTACTGCACATCTACATGACACCACCAATCATCCCCCAAAAAGTGGTTTGGCTGCTGAGTAAAATGTAGAAGGAGTTCAGGGAAGACGGGACTTTTTGCACAAAAAACGTCATTTTTCGACCCCCATTTGACCCCCCGGGGCAAAATCAAAATTCCGAAACCTTACTGCACATCTACATGACACCACCAACCATCTCTTAAAAGATGATTAAGCTACTGTGTAAAATGTAGGAGGAGTTCAGGGAAGAAAAGTGTGACAGACGGACGGACGGACGGACGGACGGACGGACGGACGGACATGAGTAACAACAATATACCCGAACTTTCTTTAGAAAGTGCGGGTATAAATATGACTTTTATGTATTTCTTATTATACCTGAAAATGAAACAGTTTGCAACTTTTAACTGTATTAGCATTATTAACAACAATAAAACTTATCAATACATATAAAAACTTGCTAGCAAAATCCCTTGTAGCTGGTTATAGACAAAACACTGATCGCGGTGAACTTGTAAACATGACGTCATTGTGGTAAAAATGACGTATTTCATGTTGTGTGAGAGGCAGACTGAGGAATTCTTAACAAATGAAAAAAGCGTTTTATTATTAAACGGAATATTATTTATAAGGATTTAAATAGTCGATTAATACCTATTTAAATCCTTTGTTTACTGCTATTATTCATTAACAATCAAGAGAATGTATTTTATTAATTATGTCGTGTTTTTATGTGCAGGTTACGTTTATTTTACAATGAGATGCCTCACAAAGTCGTTCTTTCGCAAGGACATACACTTAATAAATCTCAATCATTTTTTGAATATAGATACAGGATATTTTTCTTAACCTGAAAAGTGCTGCTGCTTTCTTTAAATCGAGGGCGTGATTTAATAAATACACAAAATATTTGGTAAAAATAAAACATATTTCTACATTGGCTTATTTACCTGAAAATTTAACTATTAAAACACGAATTATATTCAAAGCAGCAGCACTTTTCAGAAACTACAAAGTATGCAGAAACAATTAATAGGTTGATTTTTCAATTTCATCTAGGGTATGCCCTTGCGATATTGTAATTTTTTCATGATCTACATTCAGTACACGAACTATGCATTCATCACGTGACTGTCCATCGATGGGACCGAACTTCTTACAGTACAGAGTGGGTTATACTATGCTATTTGAGTTCTGTGATACTAAAACAACTTAATTAAAATAAATTCAGTTTTAAAAAGGTCCCCCTTTTTTGCACGTCTATTTCCCGTTGATTTCTCATAGTAGGCCTTAACGGTGTTGCGTAGGAATACGAACAAAAAAAAAGAGCAAAAGCCACATAGAGCCTTTTTGGCCCTGAGAATATCTGAAAACTCAAAACAGCCCAGTTAAGGCTAAAAAAAGCGGTATTTATCGCTTGGACTTTTGGTATCTATGTATTTATTAAACACGACATAATTTTCTGTCTTGTCAAATCATTATGACGTCATAAAATGCGTCATTTTTTTCCTATATCTTGTAAATTCCTTTTTAAATAGCCCAAAGTTGAACCATTTTTTAAAATATTTTATATGGATCACAACATCAAACGACGTCTAAATTTTGGGCTCGTGGACTGTACTCATATTTTTATCCTTTGCTGAATGTAGTAAATTACGGTGGTTTTCTGCAAAATAAAAAAAATGCATTTTCTCAAAGCCTGTTTTCCAATACCTGGATACTCAAATAAAAATTTTGTTATAATAAATGAAAGCACCATGTCTCTACTTTATTTATGAAATGGGGAAGAGGTGATAGTTAAATAATTGATATAAGGACAGGGCCATTTAATGAATAAAGTGAACATAGCTCCTTAATTCTCTTCAAAAGTTTATCCTGCATTTCTTTTCCTTGAAGTATATTATAGCAATAATTAAGACATAATTATAATAATAAAATTTTTGGTAACTTTCAAAATCATGTAGTTAATGGGTCATTATCTTATCAAAACAATTAAAATAATACTACTTTCCCTGTTTCAGTCTTTCTAACAGGCCCACAGATCCATTAAAAAAAGTATTTGATTTTGTTTTCGACATATTCCTTGTATTAAATTAGCGATGTTAAAGAAGTATTTCTTTTGTATATCCATTCTCCCCTATATTAGGCAAGTTTGAGTTTCATTGTGCAATAAATGCCATAGGTTTTCTACATAATATATTTTGATACAAATCCTAGCTGTCGTATACCATAGTTCTATCATTTCGGTCATAATGGAGGAAAAATAAACATGAAAACCCAATATATAGACAAGTGCATGTATATCTTATATGTTGTTGACCTTTCTTTGTGTTGCTTTAGGTGAACATCGTAACAATCCACCAGATGTCAGGTGTCTACTGTATTCTCTACTGTTAGCTGAAAAATATCAGTTGAATCTCAATGAACAATCGCACAGGATCATAAGGGACAAAATCAGAGATAGATATTTCCCTGAAGTTGCTGAAGAAGGCTTGGTAAATCTGCCTGATGGAATCACAAAAACCCAGAATGGCTTGATAAAGTTTACATCAGACGACATCAGACATGACGTAATGTACGCCTTTGTCACGGAGTGCCTGGTAGATAACAGTGATTTGGATTTTTTCCTGACCACGGCGTCACGTGACGTGATCTCTGAATACTGCCGGTCCTGGCGTTATAGGAGGAGTGAGGGAGAGAGATGTCTATATGTACCGGACGAGCCGAAGAAGATGTTCGACCTTTTTATAGAGAAACTACGGCTGGACATCATCACACACTGTACCGTAAATGATAAGATGATTCATGACAGTATCAGTGAACGTTGTAAGTATTAGGTTTTTGATCATTTCATAAAAATTGAACGACAGCTCTTTTTATGGCTGATATGACCACTCTGTGCTTTGATACCCTTCGTTGTTCCTTAATTTGTAGAGAGATACTCTAAAACATGTCTTCCATTCATCAGTAAATAAATGAAAAGTTTTCCTATTTAGGGTATAACTTAATACACGTATTTTTAAAATCTTTTTGTGTGACTTGGACATGTATTTCTGTAAAATTTCAAGTAACATACTGGCATATATTATCTTTCCACTATCACCATTTATGTGACATTTCTTGGAGAGAAAAAAATCACTATCAAATCTTCTGTGTCTTCATAGTTTAAACTTTCTTCGGAGTGCGTTAGGCATGCGAATAAATAAACGCATATTAAAACAAAAACGTGCATGGCTTAATTAATATCTTTGCAAATCTTAGGTATGATAAATATTAGCAGATATTCTCTGTTATGACCTTTGTATAGAAGTCGTTACACGCATACTTTCAGAATTACTCAAAACTATCTATGATTCTATGAAAAAAGTCTAAAATTTGTAACTCAATCTAAGATCAGGCAAAACTTTTAACATTATTTAAACCCCATAACATTTGCGACAGTGCAAACAACAGGTAATGATTGAGTCAGAAAGTTGAAGACCTGATGTCTTTTCAGCATGATATACGTGTTTGGTAAATCAATTATTACCTTCGTTACTATGGTAACAAATTATTCAAAAGTAATAAATATATATATATTCATTAAAGTTTATAAAGTCAAACAAGTGAAAATATCTATCAAAACTATCTATCATATCTATCAAAAATGATAAAATTTTCTTCCTAGTCAATGCATTATGACGCTACGAATGCGCCAATTTCTGCATATTCTGAAAAAAAAATCTACAAAAACGGCCATTTTTTGAAAGCTATTTTTCGTTATTTAATATAGAGAAAACCTCTGATCGAAGTAGTAAAGGATGGAACTGTTTTCGAGGATTAAAAGACATATTTTATTTTATTAGATCAGAGTGGGTTGGACTTTGACTTTAAAAAGGATTTTCTAAAAGGAAATGAAACCTTTAAGTCTTTATAATTTCATTTTAATGCTTCAAATTGAAAATAGAGTGTTAATTCATCAATTGTTATATCTAGAGGGTTTTTTTGCATACGGTGAACTGGCCCCCTTTTTTAATATATACTATTCAACTAAAGTTCAACCAGATAAACCTATTTTTGTCATATAATACGCTTTTTGATTAAATGACAGATTAATTTCTGAAGCAGCAAATAAAATC